GTGGGGAAGGTGGGGAAGGTATAGGGAGAGAAACTTAAATCTTCTACCTAATGTTACGAGGCGACTCAGGGGAGCGAGAGGAGAACGAACAATGAGATTGAGAGTGATGAACAAGGTAGAAGATAAAGGATCTTCTACGGAGAGGCGGGCGTCTTAAGTAGGTCTACATAGGACGATCGGGAAAGGTAGCACGTGTATGTGTAGGTAGTCGTGACACTCCGCTTCGATTCATCCAAAAATCTTCCCTTCCCCAACGCCATCAACCCCTTCCTTCCCCGCCAACCTCCCCAATTTTCTGCTCCTCCAAATCCACATCTCCATCCGTACCGGCGCTGTCATCGGCACGCGGTGCGTTAGCGGAGGACGAACCCCCTTGCGCGCGGAAAGCAATGGGCCCAAGGGACAGCCGCACAGTGTTCAAGTCCACCGTACTATCCGGCCTGCGCACGCCAAGCCGGGTCTTGCGGTATATCTTGCAGGCCATTAAGTGCATGATTCCGGTGTTGATGCAGCCGAGAAGTGTGCTGTAGCCTGCCAGGGACTGTGGGGCAATGCAGAATATACCTATTGTGACGACGGATACAACAGCGGTGGTGCTGATGATGTGAGTATTAAGTACGGTTGAGTAAGTGGATGTTTTAGAATATTTTGTCATTAGAATAAACGCACAAGAAGTACGCTTGCCCGTCTCTCAATAATGTCCTTGAGAACGAAGGCAAGCGATGACCAAAGATGGCAATCCTGAATCCTTTTCGGATGGTCAATTCCTCGTGAGATGTCTGCACCAATTTCCACGTTATCGCACAAAATAAGACAATATCATTGACCATAGGGACAATCGTCGTCGCGATAATGAAGGGAGTGACCGTGAGCGCGATGAAACAGCGTCCTGAAGATTCCTGCCGCATCGCAACGCTGCCTGGACCTGTTTCGACCAAGGAAGCGGCAACGACACCGAGCCACAGAATACAGAGGAGGTTGGCTATCCATTTCCGGTCCTGATACACTGCGCGGGCGCGGAGGACCAAAAGGAGGGTTGTTAGGGACAGACTGAATGCGAAGGACCAGTGTATCGCGCGCAAGAAGGTCACACAATCCACACCCACAACCGCTGAGAAGATCATCAAATGTTAGTAGATGTCGTAGCTGCGCTAATGAGGAAGAAGCATACTGTTATATATGACTATAATGAAAAAACATAACAAAGTGGTTATTCTGTAAAAATCATACTTTATTAGCCTATGCTTTCGTTACTCGAAATCAAGGAGCACACACCGGGAAAGAAAATATACAACAATCGGTGGCCCTATAGACGATCTCTGGATGAGCTCGTAGTCTTCCCCAAGATTGCTGAAGATGTCCCATATAACTGCCTAATCGGCGGAAGGAGGCCGGCGCACGACTCAGAAATGGCGCATATATAAGAAATCGAATTTAAATGGCAAACGCACCCCTAGTATTCCAACAGCCACATAAGCCACGAGGTTCAAATCGTAACTAGGGGGTGATAGACTAGGTACCCCATTGTTGGCTTGTGTACTGGTTTTAGTGTTATTAAAGAGAGACGACAGGAGAATAGTCAGATGTTTCCTACAGGGTAGCATTCGCCAGTCCAGCCATGGGCTATTTGAAAGGCGAGTTATGTTGTGGGCCGGCTGAACCCTGCGTTTGGGACTTCAAGCTTCGCTTTCAAGGTGGACGACAGGCGTCGAAATTGCGGATGGAAGTTGTGGTAGGAGACTATCAGTTGGCCCTGGTCCTGGGAGTACTTACCGCGAACATTTATAGCGACTATTTTTATCTCTGGAACACTAAAAATCACACGCTTTTCGTGCGGGGATACACAATCTTATACAGTCCTAGGCGCTCGCATACTGCGCTCCACTCTTCATAGTCACACCGACCCGTTCACTGTCACGTCCGCCTGCCAACACTGGTCATGCACAGAAATTTACACAAGTTCAATAGATTTTAAAGCCAGAACCACCTAATAACTATAGATCACTAAAAGACCTAAACACTAAATTTAAGCCGTTACCGAGCCCTAATCAGAAAAGAAGCACAGGAGCTTCTTGGGAACTGCATTACTCAGGCGTTGGGAAATTTGGTTCATGTGGCATCAACTTGAATGTGGCATGCAACATAACTAGGATTAGCTAGTGATCGACTGTCATCACTTAAGGAGTCTGTAAAGGAGACTAAGGATTAGCGGCAATGAGTGTGAATGTGTGCAGCGGCTGCATCCGAGCGCGTGTGAGGGTCGAGTGTGACTGTGAACGGCGATACCGGGAGTGAGCTCATTGGCTCACTGTGAGAGCGCCTAACTAGAGGAATTCCCTTTTCGTGCTACTGCGTTGAATGAAAATCAATGGATGAAATGAAATCAATACTAATTAGGCTTCCGAGAGACTTGGAACCTCTTGGAACTCCTATATCGCTGTTCTGTTGTTGCAACGGAGGTCGAATCCCTACCAAATGCATCAGGCCGACGTTCAGGAAGCTGAGGAGGGCGCTAAAGCCTTCCGCGGCTTGCGGGGCGAAGCAGAGCATGTATCTTATAATCATGGAACAAAGGCGCTAATCCCTCTCATAACATAGGCTAGGTTTACATCTTACGGTAGCTACCGTACATAATCTATATATAGTGCTGGGTGTATTAATACGTCAGTTGTCGTCGCTACTCTTTGAATGTCCTGATCCCAATAATAAAAACCACTTTACTTGTTGACAATCTCGATGCGCTCTGCGTCAATTTATCAATCACTCTTCCCTTACATATCGTTAGCGCCTTCCTCGTCATCCTCCCCAAATTTCTGCTGCCCCAAACCCACACCTCTATCCATGCCAGCGCTGCTATCGGCCCGCGTCGTAACTGAGGACGAATCCCTTCGCGCGCGAAATGCCATGGGTCCAAGGGAGAGTGCAGAGGAGTCCACCGCACTTTCCGGCCTGCGCACGCCGAGCCGTGTCTTGCGGTATATCTTGCACGTCATCAGATGCATCACGCCGACGTTCAAAAAGCCGAGGAGGGCGCTGAAGCCCTCCACGGCTTTCGGGGCGAAGCAGAACAGGCCTATCGTGGTGGTGGATACTACTATCATCGTTCTGGTGGTATGCATCCCAGTATTCAGTGCGGTGAATGAGTACGTGTCTTTGGATGTCTTACGGGACGATCAACGCACAGGAAGTATGCTTGCCCATCTCTCAGTAACGTCCGCGAGAAGGAGGGCAAGTGGCGACCGAAGACAGCGGCCATCAGCCCACTGCGCATCGTGAGTTCCTCATGCGAATTCTGTACCAGCTTCCACGTAATCGCGCAGAAGATGGCGATGTCGTTAGCCATAGGAACAATCGTCGTCGCGATAATGAAGGGGGTGATCGTGTGCACGTTGACACAGCGTCCGGAAGACGCATCGCGTATCCCCAAACTGCCTAGGGCTGTCTCCACTAAAGCGGCGGCGACAACACCAAGCCAAATAGCGGAGAGGAAATTGGCTACTTGTTTTTGGTTCTGGTACACTGCGCGTGCGCGGAGGACCAGCAGGAGCGTCGTTAGGGATAGACCGAATGCAAACGTCCAGTGTGTTGCGCGTAATAAGGTGGCACAATCCACGTTAATGCCAGCTAAGAAGATCGTGAAATATTAGCAAATGATATTTCTACATTTTGAACAAGGAGGATATAGCATACTGCTGAATATGACTATAAGAACAAAACATGACAAGGTTGTTGTCCTGAAATGCGAGACACATTTTTATCAATTTTGATTTCATCAAGTAAAAGGAGCACTCACCGGGACAGAAAGTATACGATAATAGGTAAGCCAATGGGCGACCTTTGGATGAGCTCGTAGTCTTCTCCAAGATTGCTGAAGATGTCCCATATAATTGCCTAATAGGCGGAATGAGGCCGGCGCACGACTCAGAAATGGCCCACATAGAAGATATCGAATGTAAATGGCGAACACACCCCTAGTATTCCGACAGTCACATAAGCCACGAGGTCCATATCGTAATTAGGGGGTATTGGACTAGATACCCCATCGTTAACTTGTGTACTGGCGTCAGTGTTACTAAAGAGGGACGACAGGAGGACAGTCAGATGTTTCATACAGAGTACCGTTCGCCAGCCCAGCCATGATCTGTTTGAAGGGCGTGTTCGATTATGGGCCACCTGGGCCCTGATTTAACTTTAGGGCTTCACTGTGAAGAGTCGATCAAGGTTGACGTTGCGGATGGAACGTCGTGGTAGGAGACTATCAGTTGGCCTGGGTCCTGGGAGTACCGCGGACATTTATTACCAATTCGAATCAGTTCTATGTAACACTAGATCACACGCTTTCCATGCCCCTGCGTTGAATGTTAATAATCGGTCATCAATTATTGACAGGAAATGAATACTTACTACTGAGTTGGGCTACCGAGAGATCTGGAACTCCCATATCACTGGTCTGTTCAAAGTCTGTTGATGAGACGAGCGTCGACATAATGAATGGGCAATCTACTGGATTTCATGGAAAGGTTTGATCAAAAAGTGCGCCAGTCGTTGAAACCCGATGAAGAAACGTAGGCCTATGTATGTAAGTACTACTTTTGTACTCGCTCTCCATGGATGCGTGCGGCCAATTCATGTGCATGAAGTTTGAACAGCAGCAGCAAGCGGAATCCACCTACTGATTTTGGCAACGTCCCTACTAGTAAACCACAATGCGATCAAAGTCGATGATAAGTAAGTCGAAAGTAGGCTAAAGAAGGCCTAATTCCAACGAGTTCAACAAATTTAGACATCACTGAATATTTCAAAACCACATCAATGGGCGTAAGAGCCGTATCAAGAAAACCAAGTTTAGGCGCTCGCGCTAAGGCTCCGACCGTAAACTATACGTATACGACCAACGGCGTATATATACGGGAAGTCAAATTGCCAGGGCGAGACAGGGCTCCGTGTCAAGTATACAAAAAAAAATTGGCAGTTATGCCCCAGCTCGTGGCGAAAAAGAGAGGCACTGCCCGGATTCGAACCGGGGTTACAAGAATTCATCAAAGAGTAATGGGGGATCTTTATCAGAATCTTGAGTGATAACCGCTACACTACAGCGCCAGTCAATAATTTCGTGGCAATAAAATTTACTAAGTAGGGGCCTATGTACCTGCACACTTAGCTGCCTGGGCGCTCGATGTCAAATAGTCTACCATCAAGTTAGTCTGCCAGCCGTGCGATGCGATGAAAGGAATTGATAATAACAGACAGTTGCAATGAAGTGGGTACTCAGGCGGGGCACTTGATTGCTGCGGGAAATATCATCGCTCCTAAACCTCCCCGAGTTAGCGATCAAAATCATCGCTCTCTGGATTCTAAAACACACAAGTGACATGAAATGTGAACAATTTATGATATTTTGAGTTCATGTGCATATAACGGAAAGACAACGCATCTCTACTACCTCCATCTATACTTCCTAAACTCTAGCGACGCTGCAAATCCAGATTCATTTCTTTGAAAATTGACATTGTCAAATACATGCGCGCTGTGCACGGTCCATTTCAAACTGAAGCTGGACTTTGGTCAAATCCGATCATTTAGCCTGTAAAAGTTGTTATCAAGCTCTAAAAATCTGAAGCTCGGCCCACGATGCCTGAAGTGGCGCTGCAAAATTTCACAAACAAGCTGTCGCAATCCTGACCTTCATGAATCATAACACGCTTTGAACCCACAAAAGAAATGGAACTTGGGAGGCCAATGTGGTCGTCGAGGTTCAAGGAACATTCATGATGCCCGACTGGACTAAAATTATCCACCGGTGGCCGATACATAAACCACTAAAGTATGCAGAGCTGCATGTCGCAGGCTAGCGTGGTCGTGGTTACACAGGCTAGCGTGGTCGTGGTTACACACTTCTAGAGATGGGGAAAGGGACACGAGGGAACACGGAGAGCGTTTCGGAACCGGGTGGGTGATCAAATCTTCGAATGTGGTTGAGTCGGGATTACATACTATGAAATTTGGACCTCAAACCTCGACATCTTGGCATTGTATTCCAGCAAGTTTTAAAGATCCCTTTTCAGACGGATAAGGGACAACAAAGCCTCTATAAGTATATCCATTGGAGAAATCACCTTGTATTTGTTTGACGTAGTCCCATTCCAATCTATGGACTCTGGCTCTACCAGTAATCTCAATCGAATCAAGTCATCCGGACGTGTCGCCTGAAGATTTCGTTGTTGGGTTTCTGGCCGGCGGAACGAAAAGGCAATGAGGGATGTCGTCGGTCGAAGTGACTGTGCGAATCTATGAAGGAATTTGGGCAGAAAATGAACAGAATTAGCGAGTCTCACCGGGTGTTTCATGAGATTGATGTGATGGCTACTCCTTGATGCACATTCATTAGCCTTATCGGTGTCGAGTATCCACCCAAAAACACGAAGAATCGACCAGATCAAGGTTCGTTGAATTTGTAAGAGCTTCGTAAATATGTATGTAAGTTTCGAGGAAGGCAGATCAAAGTTGATAATGATATCTCCACATTGTCGTTAAGAGCGTGGATTTCCCTTTTTCTTCTTTTCCTGATGCTGCCATTATTCTTTTCGATATCGTGCGTATTTTCCGCAGACTATAGTATGGTGTTTGCTCATGAGCCTGGCAGAAGAGCATAGTTTCCGTTGAAGCTTGAATGGCGCTGTCGGTATCGGGTTTCCCTGAGCCGTCGCGTCATGCTGGTGCTGCCAGTAGCATTGAAGCCGGGTCGACAGCAGACGATGGCCAAGAAGGCTCTGTACGGTCAACAGTGATGAATAGCCCGCGCCTACGTGGCCTTTTTGGTGGTGGTGGGAACGGTGTGAGCAGCGGAAGAAAAGCCGCGTCGCCGGGTGAAGCGAAGCCGACAACCACACCTTCGACGTCGAGTAAAGCCGACGAAAATGATGGCTCTCAACTCGCTTCCTCGTCATCTTCAGCAACCCCCTTGACCTTCGCTCCTTCCTTTGAACCATTATCCCAGCAGAAATACGATTTCGACTCGCCGCCGTCCATGTTTGACCCCGGCAACGGACAGTCTACGTCGAAACGTATTCAGCCATTACCCCCGTTGCCCAGGAAAGCGAAGGCGTCTCCAGTACGATTAGGGCCGAGTCTGTCACGATTGGATATTGGAGCTATAGGATGGTCTAGGTTACCCATGGCAGCGCACATCCCTTCCAAGCCTCCTCCCTCGGTGGTGGTTGAGGAATGGCCCCAGAACGACGCTGTTCTTTCGCCTTCAACATCTTCAGCTCGACCGTTACCCACCCTGCCACCTGTCAAGACGGAGTCGAGTAATTCTTCAACACATAGCACGGTTGCGGGATCCTCCAGACGTGTAAATGTCGAACAATCAAATGCTGCTGCTGGGCCATCGAAGTATCCAGGAGCCCTTGTAAATTCTACTACAACCACCACCTCATTATCGGCGCCAGCATCACCCGCAGTCACCCCACCGTCAAAGGTTCTCATCGTGCAGCCTGTACCCCAACGGACGACGAAACTTAGCTTGACTATGCGATACCAACCCCTTGTTGCAACTCCTTCCAGCACTCCCACCTCGTCATCTGCAGATTCTACTCCTTCCAGTGCTCCATCTGCTTCGCCTATAAGGCCTTTGCCTCGTATACCACCCATAACAACCCATCTGCCCGCCAACAATAACTCTGGATTACCCGCACTTCCGCCACTCTCTACAGGACCGTCAGGGGAGAAAATCAAGCGGCCCAAAACGAGCCCCGGAATCATAACAGGATTTGCTATGGGCCCACGGGGACCAGCGAGCGCAAATACCCCATCCCTTTCCCGATCCCCATTTACCACTATTACGACCTCCTGGCCCTCGCGTAACTCGGAGTTGACCAACAGTCCGCTGCCGATTAGTTCTCCATTGAAAGCGTCGAGAGCAAGATCGCATTCGCGCTTGTCGCGTCGGGACAGGTCTCTGGATTCCTCGTATTATTCCACTTTCTCAACCCCCAGGACGTCGCCTGCGAATTCGCGGGTGCCTTCGCCCATAGGTGGCCGTCCTGCTCTTCCCAGAGCGCGGTCGAAATCGGTTAGGCATGCGGCAACGATTGATCAGCTTCCCCGAAATCGAAGCAGTCCCACCATACCCACTCCTCCTTTATCAGGTACAATGGCATTGCAAATTCACGTAGCAGATGCCGTGACGGTTGGAAAGCGCCCTCAGCCACCTTCACCTCCTACAGGGCCTGTCAAGGCACGTCCGAAAACCGGCGCCTCCGGGTCGCCCCCTATTGCGCGGATTCTTACTACCCAGGCTTTATCTCGCCCCCAGCCTTCTGCCAAAACTGCTCTGCCAACAGTCGCAATACCCACACCCATCACCGCTGATACTGTGGCGACAACGTATTCTTTCAGTACAACACCTCCAACCACAGCGCCCTGCGCAGAAGACACAGATGACATGTACTCGATCGACGCGCCCCTTCACTCGCACCCTGTTATCGACTCCTTCACTGATACTGACTCCATGGCGAACCCCCCATTGACGCCGATATCGCTTGTAGAGGTGTACATGGACGACCAGGACTACTCCACCATGTCGCGCAGCCCCTCGCCGATACGGTACGCGCGCCCGGACTCGCGTGGGCACCTGAGTTCAACGGACGGCGATGACGACGGCCCGTCCAGTTCTTCGTCATCGGAGAGCGACGACGACGCCGCGCTCGGCCAAGCGAGGCGAAGGACCCAGCTGCGGTCGTACAGGAACAGCTACCGGCCCCGTGCGGGCGCGTCGCCGCCGCATATCCCGTACCGTCGTAGCCCGTCTCCGATCAGCGAACAGCAGCAGCAGCAGCAGCCAGCGCTGGTGGCGGCGTGGATACCATCACCACACCCGGAACCGAAGGAGAAGGCGAAGGCGAAGAAGAAAGCGACGCGGTCGTACTTTCCGGACTACATAACGTCGTCGGCGCCAGCGACGCGGGCGCCCTCGCCTGAGCGCAAATCGCGCTCGCGACAGCCGCGGAGGCTCGCCAACGCCGTCTCGCTTGCACTGAGGAACGCGAGCCCGTCGCCGAGACGCACCAACAGCATCATCAAGGCCAAGGTGCAAACGCTGGTGGACGACGGCGAGGTGCTGGATATCGGGCCGATGCCCCCCGAGTCGACGGATACGGCGAGCTCGCTCTCGGAGACACCGCAGGTGCGGTCCGCCGCCAAAGTGGGGTGGGTGAAGACGATGGCGCGGAAAAGGTCGGAGGTCCTCCTCGCGGCAGCGGCGGCGCTTGGTCCCAATTCCGTGTCACATCTGAGCAACGCAGGGACGGCGCCAGTGGAGGTGGACGGTGCGGAGACGCCGTACATGTGGATATCGACGAGCAAGCCACCCGTGCCGTCTACCTCGTTTATTCCAGCGCCTCCGCTTCCGCGTCATCGCCGTGTTGATTCGGCAGATTACCCTTTACCACACTCCAGCCAGCGCGAACGGGAAAGGGAAATCGAGAGAGAAACCGAGAGGTACAACCTCGCCTGTGGATTGCCGCTGCCGACTGGTAATGGCAGCAAACCTCGTTTATCGGATCCTTCATCATCGAACGCGCAAACCCACACTGCGACATCGAGTATCTCGATTCCCAGTACGTCTTTTTCTGGTTTTGGCATTGCTTCCCGCACCAGGAAGATTTCGAAGCATGTATCGAGTCCATCCGTCCCTCCGCCGCTCCCTTATGGACAGTCGACTACGCAGGTTTTTGCGGAGACTCTGGATATCACGCGCCAGAATATTCATGATCCACCTGAAGATAACGCTTGATCGGGTAGACTTGATAAGCTGTTTTAGGAGGGTAGTTCGAGGAGCACCGCTCTGCGTCATGGCCTTGAAACTTGGTAGACGATTCATTATTACTCCTACGTCTCTATTGGTGTAAAATGTGTATAGCGGATTACTAGTGTACCTGCTCGATTATTTGTGTACCTAGGAGCAAGTGCTCTACAATCTGTACTGTACGAGCGAGGGCTTGTATTCCCACTGTAATTCGCTCGAATCTTTTTTTATCTTGAATAACGTATTTTTTGCATGACTGTTAGGACCGACAACTAAAACTTTCGATTAGAAT